AGAAGGAGGAGGAGGAGGAGGAGGGAGGAGGAGGCCCTGCGCTCGCGCGCCTGCGGCGTCCGGGCCGGGGCCCGCCGATCGGCGTGCGGCGGTCGGGCAGCGAGCAGCCCCGGCGGCCCCGCGCGAGGGGGCCCGCGGGCGAGAGAGGGCGCCCGAGCGTGCGGGCCCTCGCCGGGCGCCGCGTGGCGACGTCTGCGGAGGGCCCGGGGGGGGGGGGCGAGGGGTCCGAGGAGGGGGGGTCGAAGGAGAGGGCGCGCCGTGCAGGGGAGAAAGTTTTGGCGCTCCCGCGCGGGTTGCCTGGGTATCGGTCGCGGGGGGGCCCCCTGGCGGCGCCTGCAGGGCCGCCCCTTCCTAGGCGCGCTTGTCGGCGATGCGCCGGGGAGGGGGGGTCATCGCAGAAATCCGCGCTGAGCGCCAAAAGGTTATGGTGCTAATGTTTTTTCTTTGGATGGTACCCATACCTCTGACCTTCCCTCGTGTTCCCCTGCTTGGGCCTCCTGGGAGGCCCTCGTCACCACCGCTGGACTCGCGCCTCGAGAAGTCCTGGGCAGAACGCACTCCCCGGGAGAGGTCCGGAAGGTCGGTACATTTTGGCTTCCCCGGTGAAGGCGTTTTTCAGGCTGTCGGGCGTCGCGATATGGGTGGCGCCGACGGAAGCCGTCTTGGGGGCCTCTCTGGGCTGACTTGGGGCGCTCTTCGGGTGCTCCAGGGCCGTCCTGCCGGCCATCCTGGGCGTCTTGGAGGCCTCTCGGGGCGTCTTGGGGCCCTCTTCCTGTCTGTGGCGTCTTGGAGGCCCTCCCCCTCAGAGATCGTGGGGGGTAGGGGTAGGGTTCGCATGTGGCCCCCTACTCTTGGGGAGGGGGGGGGCGCGGTGAAGGTCAGGAGCAGCGCTGGGGAGGAGGATGGGCGCTGGCGGGGAGGTATGCGTCGACCCCCACGGCCCAGGAGCTCCCAGAAGCTGCCCAGGAGCTCCTCGACCCCCACGGCCCACGGCCCAGGCGGGGTCCGAGAAGAGCTCCCAAAGCTGCCCAGGAGCGTGCAGGTTCGCTATTTGGGGGCCTACGGCAGAGGGAAACAGTGACTGAACACTCCCCCTCCCCCCCAAGCTCAGAGTTGGCACGCGCAGGGGGAGGCTGCGGTCGAGGTGCAGCTCATCAGACCCACCTCCAACTTTGAACAGGTGGAGGAGGGGGAGGCGCCGCAGGATGAATGTGGCATGAGTGTTCGCTATTTTTCCCGAGGTCTGTATCACCGATCTGGTTGCCACGTCTGGTTGCCACACGTCTGTTGTCTTCGCTTTCATGTCTGGCTGCCACACGTGTAACATTTTGCCCGCGCGTCCCCATTGCGCAAGGCGTCAGTCAGTCAGTCATCGCCGATCTATCGGGCCACACGTGCAATCATGTCCACGCGTCTGCATGGCGCAGCGCTTCAGTCAGCCAGTCATCACCGATCTGTCGGCGATGCATCGCCGATCCCAGGTCGATGCGTCCCCCCTCTATGTCAGTCCCCCCAATCGTTGCCCTCAGAAGGGGCGGGGTCGCCATGCAGGTGGGGGCCAGGAGCTCTCCACGGGCCCCGGGATTCGTGAGGAAACGGCTCAGGAGGAGGAGGAGGAGGAGGAGGAGGAGGGAGAGGAGGAGGAGGGGGAGGAGGCGGATGGGGTGACGAGAGGAGGAGAGGAGGAGGAGGAGGAGGAGGAGGAGGAGGAGGAGGAGGAGGAGTGAGGAGGAGGACGAGGAGGAGGAGGAGGAGGAGGAGGAGATGGAGGAGGAGGATGAAGATCTCGTCCGTGCGAAGTGCTCCCGGGTCCAGGACCCGTCTGCCTCTGGACCCGTCTCCCCCATGCACAACGGGTGCACTTCTCGGGCTCGGCAGGGCGCCCTGCGGGACCCAGAAGAAGGGGCACGTTGCGCCCCCCTCCTCCTTCTCCTCCTCCTCCTCCTCCTCCTCCTCCTTCCTCCTTCCTCCTCCTCCTCCTTTGCCTCCTCCTCCTCCTCCCCCTCACTCCTCCTCCTCCTCCTCCTTCCCCTCATTTCTCCTCCTCCTCCTCCTCCTCCTCTCTCCTCCTCCTCCTCATCCTCCTCCTCCTCCTCCTCTCTCCTCCCCCCACTCCTCTCCTCCTCCTCCTCCTCCTCCTCCCTCCTCCTCATCCTCCTCCTACTTCTCCTCTCGTCCTCCCCTCCTCGCGTCCTCCGCCTCCTCATCCTCCTCCTCCTCCTCCTCCTCTCCTCCTCTTCCTCCCTCTCCTCTCACTCGTTCCTCCTCATCCTCCTCCTCCTCATCCCTTTTTCCTCCCTTTTCCTCCTCCTCCTCCTTTTCCTCCTCCTCCTCCTCCTCCTCCTTCTCCCCCCTCCGATTCCTCTGCAGCCATTTGGGCTCGAGCAGGGGGGGGGCCCGCCGCGGGCCGCGGCTCCTCCCCCCCACCCCCGCGAGCGAGCCCGCGCGGCGCGGCGCGCGGGCGGGCCGCGGCGGCCCTGCGAGGGATGGACCCGCGAGCCTCGGAGGTGTGGCCGCACGCCTCGACGGTGCTGGCCGCGCTGGACGAGGTCGCCAGCAAGCCCGCGGACGTGGCGAAGGACCGCGGCCACGCGCACAGAGGGGGGTATGGGGGAGGGGGGGAGGCTTCTTAGAGGCACCCCTGCCGCTCGGAGGGCGCTTGGCCTTCTCTGTAGATGCAGGGCCCGCGCCTTCTGAGAAGCAGCCTGCTTCTAAGTAGCCTCCCCCCCTCCCCCATGCCCCCCTCTGTGCGCCGCCAAGGACCGCCTCCTCCAGGTGCTCGGCATGGGCGCCGACGACACGGTGGTCGTGGATGGCGCCGCCGAGCCGAAGCCCGGCCTCGAGGATTTCGAGCACGCCATGTACTCCGCCATCTTCGCCAGGCTCGAGGCCGAGGACAAGGCGAGGGAGGCGGAGGTGGTGCGGCTGCTGGACGCCTGCGCGGCGCTGGTGGTGGACCTGTTTGAGAGGGCGGCGCGGTCAGGCGCCCCCCAGCCAGAGACCGACCGGTGCAAGGTCTGGTGGCAAATGCTGATGAGCGTGAGCGAAGATGCCTCGAAGCTCATCCCCAGCAGGCACCTCGAGGGGCTCGTGTCGGACTGGGAGCGCAGCCTGCCGCGGCTCCGCGCCGCCTTCCTGGCGATGGCCGACCAGCGACTGAAGGAGTTCGACGCGAAGCAGCTGGCTGGGGATGCAGGCTTGGAGGACGGCGATGGCAAGAACGCCAAGGAGAGGGCGGCGAAGGAGACCAAGAGGATCGAGGACAGGAAGAAGTTGATCGGCTTCCTCGGCGTTTCTCCCAACGGGATCCTCTGCCTCTCGCTCACGTCGCTGCTGAAGCAGCTGAGCTCCCGGCTGTGCAGCTCGCTGCACGCCCCGCTGCGCGCGAGGATAGTGTTGCTGCTGGAGCAGATCTTAGCCATGGACCACAAGGCCATCGCCAACAATCAGAAGTTGCGCTCGCAGGAGTGGACGAAGGCCGAGGACTTGGACGCCGAGGTGGACGCGGGCTTCCCCGAATCGCCCCCCGTCGTGGAGCAGGCCGCCGAGGCTGCGGCACCGCCGGCCGAGGCTGGTGCCGCCGCAGCGGCGGCCCCTGCGGCGGACGCGCACGCCCCTGCGGCGGACGCTGCGGCCGCGGCGGCAGCTGGCGCGGCCGCGAGCAGCCCTCCGGACGTGGCCCCGGACGCCGCCCCGGCCGCGGACGCCTCGGCCGCGGGCGCCGTGGGCGCCGCCGCCCGGACGCGGGACGCCGCCCCGGCCGCCGGCGCCGCGGGCGCCGCGGACGCCCCCGGACGCCGCCCCGGCCGGCGACGCCACCGCCGCGACGGCGGACGCCTCGGCCGCGGGCACCGCGGAGGCGCCGGCGGGCGGCGCGGAGGCCGCGCCCGCGGCCGAGGCGCCCGCCGCGGCGCTGAGCCTGGGCAGCGACCCGGCGGTGACCTTCGAGCTGTACAGGAGCTTCTGGAGCCTGCAGGAGGCCCTGCACTTCCCCGAGAAGATCTTCGACAGGCCCGAGGGGTGGAGGGTGTTCCACAAGAAGCTCTCCGAGGTGCTGGCCCTGTTCCTCGAGCACCCGGTCCGGGACCACGCCCACCAGCCGTGGACGCCGCCGGAGCCCGCGCCCCTGCGCCACGCGCCGCGGGGCCGCGCGCTGCCGGTGCAGCTGGACGACCCCGGCTTCCGGGAGCAGTTCCTCATTCAGGCGATGATTACGTCGGGCCTGTCCCCCTACAGGATGATTCTCGACGAAAAAAAAGTAGCCTGACGAATGACCCAACCATGTGCAGTTGCGAGTGCCGCATTGTGGGTACCGGTTCGGTGAAGCTCCTATGGGGCCACGAAACTTGTGAGGGGTGCGCCGAAATTGGTGGCGCGGACGCATGTGGACACCGCCACTGGGGCCTTCGGTGTAGCTCCCTATGGGGCCACGAAGCGCTGCCCTGCATGGGCGAGGGAGACGCATGCGAACTGCGCCATTGGGACCTTCGCTGGAGCTCCTTATGGGGCCACGAAGCGCTGTCATGGGTGAGGGACGCATGCGAAATGCGAACTGCGCCTCTGGCGCCTTCGGTGGAGCTCCCTATGGGGCCACGAAGCGCTGTCCTGGGAGGGGGAGACGCATGCGAACACCCCGATGGAGGCCTTCGGTGGAGCTCCCTATGGGGCCACGAAGCGCTGTCCTCGGTAGGGGAACCGCATGCGGGCACCCCCACTGGGGCCTTCGGTGGAGCTCCCTATGGGGCCACGAAACGCTGCCCTGGGTGGGGGAACAGCATGCGGGCACCCCCACTGGGGCCGTCGGTGGAGCCCCCTATGGGGCTACGAACCGCTGCCCTGGGTGGGGGAACCGCATGCGGGCACCCCCACTGGGGCCTTCGGTGGAGCTCCCTATTGGGGCCGCGAAGCGCTGTCCTCGGTAGGGGAACCGCATGCGGGCACCCCCACTGGGGCCTTCGGTGGAGCTCCCTATGGGGCCACGAAGCGCTGCCCTGGGTGGGGGAACCGCATGCGGGCACCCCCACTGGGGCCTTCGGTGGAGCTCCCTATGGGGCCACGAAGCGTTGCCCTGGGTGGGGGAACCGCATGCGGGCACTCCCACTGGGCCTTCGGTGGAGCTCCCTATGGCTACGAAGCGCTGCCCTGGGTGGGGGAACCGCATGCGGGCACCCCCACTGGGGCCTTCGGTGGAGCTCTCTATGGGGCCACGAAACGCTGCGGGCACCCCCACTGGGGCCTTCGGTGGAGCTCCCTATGGGGCTACGAAATTTTGCCCTGGGTGGGGGAACCGCATGCGGGCCCCCCCACTGGGGCCTTCATTGGAGCTCCCTATGGGGCTAGGAAGCTCTGCCCTGGTGGGGGAACCGCATGCGGGCACCCCCACTGGGGCCTTCGGTGGAGCTCCCTATGGGGCCACGAAACGCTGCCCTGGGTGGGGGAACAGCATGCGGGCACCCCCACTGGGGCCGTCGGTGGAGCCCCCTATGGGGCTACGAACCGCTGCCCTGGGTGGGGGAACCGTATGCGGGCACCCCCCACTGGGGCCTACGGTGGGGTTCCCTATGGGGCTACGAAGCGTTGCCCTGGGGGGGGAAACCGCATGCGGGCACCCCCACTGGGGCCTTCGGTGGAGCTCCCTATGGAGCTACGAAGCGCTGCCATGGGTGGGGGAACCGCATGCGGGCACCCCCACTGGGGCCTTCGGTGGAGCTCCCTATGGAGCTACGAAGCGTTGCCCTGGGTGGGGGAACCGCATGCGGGCACCCCCACTGGGGCCTTCGGTGGAGCTCCCTATGGGGCCACGAAACGCTGCCGTGAATGGGGGAACAGCATGCGGGCACCCCCCACTGGGGCCTTCGGTGGAGCTCCCTATGGGGCTACGAAACGCTTCCCTGGGTGGGGGAACTGTATGCGGGCACCCCCACTGGGGCCTTCGGTGGAGCTCCCTATGGGGCTGCGAGACGCTGCCCTGGGTGGAGGAACCGCATGCGGGCAGGAGGAGGGGGGGGTGGGGAGGAGGGGGGAGGAGGAAGGAAGGAAGGAAGGAAGGAAGGAAGGAAGGAGACGCGGGGCGCTGTCTCTTCAAAAAGAGGACCGAACACCACATGGTGTTTCGGAAATATTCAAGAAATAGTCCCCTGATTATTTTTGGACTATATTTTGATTATCTTTGGGGTATTTGTATTTTTCGTCGAGAATCCCCCTGTAGGGGGACACGCCCGACGTAAGGCGATGATCGCTTTCCACGCCCTGGACGTGGACGCGTCGAGCTACCGGAAGGACACCATGTCGCGCCAGAGGGTGGAGACCCAGAGAGAGTTCCGGGCCCTCCGGCGCACGTGCGAGAAGGTCCTGGAGCAGACGCGCGAAGGCTTCCCGGCGCTGCTGCGGCATCTGCTCGAGCGCGAGGGCCACTGGGTGGCCTGGAAGGCTTTCGGCTGCCGGGAGTTCAAGCACGAGAGCCTCGAGATGCTCCATGCGAAGATAGAGCCCGCCGATTGCCTGCCGGAGAAGCCTGCGTCGCTGAAGGCGCCGAAGATCCAGATGCCGCCGCACGTGAGAAGTATGCTGGGGACCCTGAAGGACCCTAAGTGGGACCTCCCCAAGGAGCACCAGCCCGTCGAGGAGGGAGAGGAGGACACGGCCGACGACATCCGCCAGAACATGCTTCGGAAGCTGTGCGACACGTACCTCGACCGGCTGCTCGAGGAGGACGACCCCAAGAACGAGGTAGAGGAGGAGTACAAGGCCAAGAAGAACAAGGTCTTCATGTGGCAGGCTCGCCGCCTCTTCGCCCAGAAGCACCTGCGCGCGTACTCGGCCAGGGATGCCAGCACCACCAAGTCGGACTTCATGGACTACGTGCGCGCTGTCAAGGGCATACGTGCTGTGGCGACTGTCGCCGACGCTGCTGCCACCGAGGCCCCGCCCGCTGAAGGCGCGATAGCGGGCACCATTCCAGAGGCACCGGCTATCGCGGACGCCGCTCCAGCGGACGCCGTCCCGACAGACGCCGCTGCGGCTCCGGCAGACGCCGCACCGGCCAGCGCTGCACCGGCCGATGCCACCAAGGAGCCGGCAGGCGGTGCCGGCGCGGCGGTCGCGGAGGCCCCCAGCGCGGCCTCCGCCGCGGACACCCCGACCGACGCTGCGCCCGCCGCAGCAGTGGAGATCGATGGTGAGACCCGCACGGCTGGCAAGCGCAGCGCTGACACGGCCGGCGCTGTCGCGGAGCCGGAGGCGAAGAAAGCCAAGACGTGACTTGGCTATACCAGGTGCCAGCTTGCGCGCTGCCATCCACAGAGAGCACGACCCAGCGTCGTCAGCCAGCGCCCGCCGCCGCCCCACAGGCGTCGCCCCCCCCAAAAAAGCGGCGCCCGAGGCCGGGGGTCATTCTTCGGTTTGTGCGGCCCTCGGGGGCCGTTCTTCAGAGCGTGAATTACCTACCCCGCTTTCGCTTCCAGGCAAAACCAAGCCATACCACGCGCCTCCTCGTCAAGCGGCCTGACCAGTACAGGCTGCAATTTGGCATCGTTTGTTATCTCTTGGAAGCGAGGGTGGTCAAAAGCGAGGTACTGGTTTGTTTTCCCCCTAGTTCTGAGGCCCCGAGGCCACCAGAAACGGACCCGCAGGACGAAACACGACCCTCCGAGGAGCGGCCGGAACCTTTGCGGCCGCGCGCTTGACGTGCGCGCCACATCGGCTCGCACGGAGTCCAGCAGAATCAGGGCAACGTCGCGGGGGGATGGGCTCGGGGGAGGGCGCGTCGACGAGAGTTTGGGAAGCGACCGGGGGTTTTGCGCTGGTTGGTCCCCGAGTCAGGCAGTCAGGGAAATATCTGGGAAAGTATGGGACGTGGGGGGGAAGACGAACATTCAGAAAGTATGATAGAATATGGAATCCTGGGATTTGTGTCTATTTATTTGTGTGTCCCAGGGCCCCTTTAATCAGCCCCTCCAATAAGGGGGTGACAGCAAATCCGGTCAAAATCAGACCCCAGACCCTCGCCGGGGTTCCATCGGACGGTCCCGCGGCCAGCAACGACCCCCCCCGGAGGCCGAACAAGGGCCACAACAAATGCTTGAATCCAGATCCTCGAGCCTTGACTCCCCCTTATTCCTGCTCGCTGGAACCAATGCTGGGCCACCTCCTGATCCCCAGCCGACCGACTCCCAGGAGTCGGCGGCGAGCGAGAGGGGGAAGCGAGGAGGAGGAGAAGGCCTTCTCAGAAGGCGGCGGGACCTCTCAGAAGCCCTCGCGCCCTCTGAGAGGTTTCCTGTGTGTCTTCGGGGCAGGCGCAGAAAGCGTCCCCAGAGGGCCGGGGGCCTTCCGAGCCTCCTGAGAGAGGGCGCGCTCACGCATGCCTCTGTGTGCTCGTGCACTGTTGACGTTCTGTCGTCCTTTCCGTGTGCGAGGCCTGCTCGTGATTCACTCGCTCGCCCTCGGCTCGTACAGTGCCGTTTTTGATACATGCCCCGCGCGCGGATCATGTATTACAAATGCAGGGATCTAGTATCAAAAACAACGATGAGTTTATGCATCAATTTGTTCATGAATTAATCATGTATTAAAAATCCGATAGAACGGTTTTTCATCCCGAGTCGTTTCTTGACGGCCCCGAGGCCCGGCGAGGGCCCCGAACGGCCAAAAACTATGCAGAACCTCTGCCTCGATTTTTGTCGAGACGCCCGACGTCTGATTCACTCGCTCGCCCTTGGCTCGTCTCGCCTGCCTCGCCGCCACAGGCGAGCCCCCCCCCCCCTCGCCAGGCGGCCGACGGCGCCCCCAGCAGCGGCGCGGAGCGCGAGCGCAGGGCCAGCCGGCGGCGCGGCCGCGGCGGGCGAGACGAGGACGGGGCCCCCGGGGCGGGCGCGGCGCCCAACGGGCCGGCTCCAGGGGAGGCGTCCTTTCTTAGGGGGCTGTGCACTCGGGAAAGGGGCTTCTGCGGGTTCGCGGGATTCGGTTCGTCTTCCTTTCGGGCTCCTCGTGCGTTTTGCTGGATCCGGCTCGCGCGCAGGCGCCCTGTTCCAAGGGTCGGGGTCTAGCGCTCAAACAGTTCCTTCCCGGTTCCTTCCCGATTCCTTCCCCAGTCACGGGGCAGCGAGCAGGCAGAAACCCCAGACATCGGGCGTCTCGAAAAGATCGAGACGGAGGTTGTTCGTGGTTTTTGGGCCGTTCGGGGCCCTCGCCGGGCCTCGGGACCGTCAAAAAAACGACTCGGCGTGAAAAACCGGTCCCGGGGAAGTGGTCGGGAGGTCGGGGGCCCGCGTCTCGAGAAAATCGAGACGTCGGATGCCTGGGACTGTCTGTTTTTGCCATGCAGGCGGCCCGGATTAGTAGGTCGACCCTGCCAGATCAAGGGTGCCCTCGTGTTCTCGTGTCCTGCGACCCATGCCTCCTGCATATTTCTGTGGCAGCGTGGCCCTCGGAAGGTTCTCGTGTCCTCTCGCGCGTCCTCTCCAATCAAGTCCGACTGTAAAGATAAACTTTTGGCGCTCCGCGCGGATTTCTTGGATCCGCGCTGGGCCCCCCTGGCGGCGCTCCCGGCGCCGCCCCTGGCGCGCTCCGCGCGCTAGGGAGGGGGGCACAGGCCTGATCCAAGGAATCCGAGCGGAGCGCCTAAAGTTGATGTTTACGGCGCTTGTTCTGCTTATGACATGTTTCCCGGGGAGTGCGCGAATCGCCCATGCGGGGCCAACAAACGTAAGTATTGATACAGTTGCGCCGGCGGTCCCCAGGCGTGCGGCGCCCCGATGTTTTCATTTCGTGGCCCCAGGAAGTCGTCGGCCTGTTCCGCCCCCCGGGGGCCGGCTTTTCGTCCTGAGCCGTTTTTTGTTTGACGGTTCCAGCGCCCGACCAGGGCCCCCCTCGACCAAGAAACCCATCGGGGGCCGCAGCGCATGCCACGCAAAAGCCCACGTCAGATGTCTTGGTGTACGCTGAGCCCCGCGGGGCCGCAGGCAGGGTGGTGTCGTTCCTTTCCTGGTCCACCCCCACGAGCCCCCACACGGTAACAAGCACGTCCCGTCCTGCTTTTTTTAGCTGTCGGCGCGCGGGCCTGGCCGCGTCCGCGCCTTCGGCGAGGCCGCGCGGCGAGTGCGCGCGCCGGGCCCGCCCTCCTGGGGCCGGCTTCACCCCCCCAAGCCGCCCGCCCCCGAACGCCGGCTGTGGTGGCGTCGGCCGTTCTCGCACAGCTTCCGGGGCCTTAGTGCGGCGGCACGCCCGGGGGGAGGGGTGAACGGAGCCTCGCGAGACGGCCCAAGACGCCCTCGGGAGGCCCACGAGAGGCCCCAATAAGGGACCCCGAGGAGGCCTCCAGAGGCCCCCATGGAGGCTGGAGGCCCCAAGAAGCCACCCAGACACCAGCGGAATCGTATACGAAGGGCGCGCTGCTGCTGTGCTCATCGTATCGCTGCGCTGCCTTGTGCTGACGCCGCGGTCAATTAGAAGGCAAGCCCGGGGGAAATAAGAAGGGGCGGGTCTTCTCAGAAGGCTTGGAAGTCCCCCAGCCTTCGGAGAAGTCTTCCAAGCTTCCCCCGCCCCGAGGCCACAGCTGAGCCCTCCCAGAAGGCGCGAGGGCTTCCGAGGGGTCCCGCCGCCTTCTGAGAAGGCCTTGTATGATCCTTCGCACTTCCCCCCCCCTCGCTCGCCGCCGATTGGTGGGCGCAGAGCACTGCTCGGGGGTGGACAGAACCCCCCACAGTGACACGTCGAGTATCAGTGAATGGTCCGTTTTCGGTTCCCGATGAGGGCGCCGTGGCCGCTCTTTTCCAGGCTGGCGCCCGCCAGATTTGGGCCTCAGGTCGTTTTCACTAAACCACGTTTTACTTCCACCGCCAGGATCTATCCCTATCCACCGCTTCGGGGTCCTGCCCAGGGACTTCCGGGAGTACTGGATGTGGATATCTGCCCGCCCCTGAAGGCGTGAGAATATCCACATCCGCCACCCGTCGGGATTCCAGGGCGCGACTCCGAAGCAGTGGATGTGGACGTATGCTGGCGGTGCATTACTAAAGGGGGGTCTGCCCATCCCCGATCGACCTGCCGCCGCCGGCCGCCCTGGGCACCCCAAGGGGGTCACGAGCCGAAGCACGGAGCACTGCGCGTAAGCAGGAGCTCCCGGGTGCTCCGCGCGGGGGGGGGCCCCACCCAGCTTTTCCGCCCGTGCTCCGCGCCAGGGGCTCGCCTCCCTCCTCTTCTCCTTGCTCTTCCTCCTCGTCCCCCGCCCCCCCCCCCCCTTCTTCCTGTTCGAATATATTTCCGCCCCTCCTCGACCTGGCTCGGAGCGGCCTTTTTGCCCGGCGTCTCGGAAAAAGTCATGCCTGTGGCGTTGCCTGGTCCTCTCGGGAGGGGGCAGAAGAGAGGACAGAAGGGGATGGGGGGCAGGCGGGGAGCCAGGTCCAGGTCGAGGAGGGGTGGGAGAGTCGAAGGAGAATCGGGGAATCGTGAGATGAAGTCGGGCCTGTCCCTCTACAGGGGGAATTTTCAAAAATAGGCAAAACATAATCTTGGGACGGTTTGATTTTTTTTTAGCATTTGGGGTGCATTTTTGGGGTATTTTTCATTTTTCGTCCAAAATCCCCCTGTAGGGGGACATGCCCGGCCTAAACGTAAGACTCGAGTGCGCCAAAACGCGACTCTGCCGACGTCTTTTGGCGAGCCCGCCTTGGATCTTGACGGTCCCGTTGTCGCGGGGTGCTTGCAGCGGGAGCCCCCGCGCCGATTCCATGACCGGGCCGCATCGCTTTCATGATGGCCCCGTCGGGCCGACCCGAGCGCCCCGGACCCGAGTCTTCCGCCCCGCCAGAAGCCAGAACAGCAAAGAGGGAACAACGAAAAAGAGGGAAACAACACAGCAAGAGCGAACTCTTACGTCTTGAACTCAGGGGCAACGATAGGGGGGGATGGGCATAGGGGGGGATGCATCGACCCCCAATCGCCCAGTCATCGCCGATAGGGGCCCGATAGCCCCAGCCCGCCCAGGAAGGTGCGGAAGCACCATCGCGCGGGGGCCTAGCGCCGCTTCATCGGCGATGTACACATCGGCGATGCATCGCCGAGTCCAGGTCGATGCATCCCCCCCTGTGCCCTATCCCCCCCGATCGTTGCTTCTCATAAAGCGAAAAAAAAACGGCGTCCAGTCTCTGTGGGCGTGCGCTGAGAATCGGGCCCGTCCCTCTACAGGAGGACTGTTCAGGAAGTGCAGAAGCATCGTCTGGGGACGATTTGTCGACTGTGCTTGACCACTCTCGAGCAGTTTT